GCCGGAGGGCTTCCTGTTACCCTCTCGGTGGCGACGACCTCCTTCGTTACCTCGGCGCTCATCTTCCCCGCCACGTCATCTCGACGTGAACCCCCTGCACGCAGGAGGTCGTGTTACTTTTCTGCTTCCGAGAATACTATGTTTCTGACACTGGTCCGGGACGAAATCAACGACAGCGCGAAAGAATATACGGTGCGTATGCGGCTGTATACGCACACGAATTTCCGATCTTTCGATCTTGTTTCCTCTATCGGGTGATTTTATAGACGTTCGTTTTTCCACGATCGTGACTGGACGCTCGTTATCGGGATTATCCGCTTTGCTCGACGCGTGCTCGGGACTCGTTTCCACAGCACCGTGACATCTGGGAGAACGGGTCGAATATTCTTTCTCTATCGATGCCTTTCCGTGCCTCAAACCTTCCGTTGGTCGATACTGAAACGCGGGTTTCTCCTAACGATTCTTCTGGTGTGTTTTCTCTGCTGGTGTTGCCTTTCTTTCTAGCTTCGTACCTTTGCGTTGTCTCGGTGTATGTGTTTCTTTTTCGTGTGTATCGGTGTGTATCGATGTGTATCAGCGTGTATGTGTGATTTTCCTGAATTTCTTCCTCTTGCCTCTCGTTTAGAGCTCTTCTTCGTTCCTCTTTCGCGTTCACTCTTGTCGCTATTCTCACTTGCTCTCGTTCTCTCGTTCGTACGTACGCTTTCGCTCTCTCTCTCGCTCTCTATAACTCTATTTCTGTCGTTTGTACTCAACAGGTTTAGGCTACGAACTGAAGTAGATCGGTTTCTCTGGGAGTAATTATATGCGAGTCCCCTTTTCCGGATATATAGGGCGGCCTGCGTTCTCTCCGTCTGTCTTTCGCTTTGGATGGGACTCTTCTTCTTTCCTTAATTAGATATTCTCATACGCGCTCTTTAAGAGTAGGTGCGTCTGTCTTACTTTTTCTTCTTTTTTCTTTTTTTTTTGTTTTTTTAAAAAAAAGAACGTCAACCCTTACTTTTAGTTTGCCTATCACGTAAAATTTGTTTATTATAAGCTTAGAAAACTTTGTCGGTCAGATTTTTTCATTTACTTATTTCGTATGCTTCTGTTTTGCGCTTTTTTTTTCTTCTTCTAATTAAATCTGCTCGCGAAGAGATCGCCGCTCGTCTAGCTGGTTAGTGAGTATATCGTTAGCTCGCTGAGTGATTAGTAGAAAAAAAGAAATGGTAGATTCTTTGGTTTACGGTTTTTACTTCTTCTTTCTTCTTTTTTCCCTTTTGTTTCGTTTGTCTTTTGTTTTTAAATCTGATCTTAAACGTACAACAATCGTGTTAAACGCGTTTCTCCGTTTTTTTGCTTTCTTACTCTGTTTCCTTTCCTTTTTCGTTTTTTTTTCTTTCGTTTCGTCTTTCGATTTGGCACTGGCGGACTTTTTTTTATTTTTTCTTTTTTTTGTTTCAGATATACTTTGTACACTAATTAGATACTATAGCTCTTAATGCTTTGTCTTCTTCTGAACTTAAGCTCTTGGAATATCTTTCTTCTTCTTCTTCTTTCTTTTCGCTTTTTTCCTTTCTTCCTTTGTTTTACGTCGATATAAACACACTAATTACTTCTTTCGCGTTTCGTAAGAAAATAGAAATCACTTGAGGTTAATGTGGCTTGTTAGAAGGCGGTTGATTTGTACGATCTGCAACAGAAAGACACAACACGATATTAAAATCAGTCGTTTTACAACTAAATCTATAACACAGTTAATATAATTCGTTTCTCATCCATAACTTCGCACAACGATCATTTTCACTGTACACACTCTTACGTTTTTCGGGACGAACATTTCAACATTCAGAAACAAAAAGAATATACAATGGCTACAAAATGTACTTGCACGAATCCTTATTCTTTACTGAAGTCTTATCTGATTAAATTCCACTCATATATTTGGATCTAATTAGTTACATAGTATGTAAATGCTACAGTCAATACAATGGGATGCAAATAAATACTTTCTGTAGCCATCGTAGTTATCTTTAGCCTCTTGAGAAATGAAAAGTTTTCACATCACACTCCCACACTTTCTATCATCATTTTCGTACACTTCAACGCCTACAGAAAAGGAAAGAAAGAATTCTTATAACTTCTCATAAAGAATAAAAAAGGTTTCGATGAAAATAATCTTTTGCTATATATCACTATACTTTCTCAAAAAAAAAAAAAAAGGAAAGAAAAAGAAAATATAAGAAAAGGAAAAGAAATTTGGCAGACGATCGAAATTCGTGACGAGTTGCTTCGGAAAAAACGGAGCGTTTCGAGATAAAAACGCCCCGATGACGAGGCTCATTGAGTCCTCCCCCTTCTCCATGGTCACGTGAGGCGATCGTAAGCGAGAACGTGACACGCGACTACGTGGGAACGTGTCATAGACGTTACCATAACGTGACCATCGCTAAGCCAAGGTTACTATTACGTTCGGCGTGTCTGCACACCTACTCGCTCGCTTTGATACCCGCGAATGTTGTGCCCTAGTCCCCGGACGGTTCATTCAGCGTTGCTTAGACCGCTGATGATGGCTACGAGCTTTTCGCGTTCTACAATTCTTTGTTTTCATAAAAACTGCACAGTCACTCTTTGTCATTGATCTTCGTAATGTGTATATTTTCTACTCGATTTAATTCTGGAAATATAATATTCATATTTTCTGTATTGTAGTATTGTTAATTCATGGATGGTTCAAGGTCCGCGCATGGTAAATGGTAAATAATTTAACATGGTAAATGGAATTATTTTGAGAGATTATTTTGAATGTTTAAGATGGAAGAAATAGCATTGTATGTTAAAAGTATAGTTGTTATGTTACATATATTATTATATATTACATATACTATATTTAATGGTTTGCAGAATAGAACATGGTGTTCTATGAAAGAGTCATACAGGTATTGCATTAAATGGAACTCCACAATTCCTAAACTTTGATATCCTACCACATTATTTAACCAATAAATATATCATCATATTGTATTTTATTTTATTCTATCGTTGACCCACCGTCAACTTAGCCTGTTTTAAGAAATTAATCACCCTAAAATGTTTAATTTGTACTATCATCGAAGTACATTTACTATACCACCTAACCTTTGATTCTACGCTTCCTTTCTTATACAATCGTTTACTCCAATATTCGATCGATAAACATCGAATAACATGAAACTATCGTACAATAAGTTAATACACGCATTATTAAGAAATCAAAAGAACTCTTCTACAGAATTCAATGAGTGAGCGATTCGCAAGCGGTTCCAAGCCATCGTCAAAAAGCGGTGCGATGTTGGTCCTCTGTGAGATATCGACCGCCGTTTAACCCTTCTCTGTCCTTCTAACAACCTCTATCTTTCTCTCTCTCTCTCTCTCTCTCTCTCTCTTTCTCCCTTTCTCTGTCTCTTATTCGCAGTGCATAGAGTAAGTACACATCCACACGATCAGCAATGCTACGCTTCTATACGTATGTTCATGTGTGTGTGTGGATATGTGAACGTGTACGTGTGCTGTTGGCGCGCGCACGCCAGCCAGCTTTTGCACGGCTGGTGGATGCACATAATGGCCGGTACATAGAGAGAGCAATAGCTCTGTCGCTATCACGCGGCCGGTTCTCCATCGCTCCGCGCCACTCTCGCTGCAAAACTCTCTCTAATAGCTTTACAGCTGTGGCCGACGGAGCTTTCGCTATCGTTGGAAACTTGCACTGTCGTTCGACGCGCACTTTCGCTTGCTGTGAATTAAAACGCGAGTCACGTTGCCTCTTCGTTCGAACTTGCGCGCGAATGCTGTTCGTCCCTTCTTCCATTCTTCGAGTATATTTCATTTGAGATTGCTTGAGAATTGTTTCATTCGATTGTGCTCAATTTAAAATCGTTTAAGAACCGTTTTAACGGTGAAACGTGTTGAAAGAATTGTACGAACTGAAAGTGGCCTTTGCAAGGATTTTGTTTGCCTTTGAAACGCTCACTTCTGGCTTTAACACGTCTTGCGTTTCATCGATCGTACTCCATTTCGACTTTTTCAGACAGATTGTCGACGTTTACAAGCATACAGAATAACCAACGGTATATGGCCACAGCTCGTAATTTAATTGCAATGGTGCAATTAAGATAGAATTTATTAATGTAATAAAGAATCGTGCGTGTCAATCGGGGACCTTTATTTTGTTTTTGTACTAGAAAGGATGGCACGCCATTTTCGGGCTCGAACGTTGATATTTCCCATTTTCGAACGAGGAAAGATAATACGCTATTCGATATTATTTATACGAACGTAAGAATTTAACTCACATTTCATAATGAAAAATAAAAAAGCTTTCATACACCAGAAAGTATTTTAATTAAGATTAATTAAGCTTCGTATTAAGATTCTTTCCTACGATATCTTTAATATCGAGTACAGTAAGATAGCAACGATAATTGCAGCAATTTTTTCAGGATATTTTCCTAAGGAAACACAGCGCAGGTACAAACAAAATTTTCCGAACATATAGTTATACAAATAAAATCGACAAGACTAAAAATTTCAAGGCACACTACATCTTGCGCATACCACGCTGCGTCGACACGTGACATGGGACAAAGACAAATTCGGCCAGTTGGGTCGAATTAACGAAGAATCGAACAGTTCCACGAATTTCCTTGAACGAACCGCTGTGCATCAGAAATAACGACATTTGAGCGAACAGCTCGCTGCCAGGAATTCTTCGTTCCAGCACGAGACTACGATCCACTGGGTGTCACCTATTAGCACGTCTTTCAGAAAAACACAAGTGTCTTCAAACATCAGTCCACTTTTCGAAAAAGAATTTCATCAAATAAAAAAAAAAATGAATAAAAAAAGAAAGAACGTAAATTGAATGGCAGGAAAATAAATTCCTAAA